GGCTGGAAAAGTCTAGAAGGCAAGTCCTCCTAAACCCCTGGCTCATCACATTCCAAGACCAGCAAGGTCTTCTCCTTCCCCTGGGTGTGTGAAGTGTTTCCTCTGCTGGGAAAAGTCACTTCTGCCCGCACTTTCGGCCCTTCTCTCCTGTATAGAAAACACAGCAGTCACGGCTGCTTCCCCACCCCTACACTGGACCCTAAGGCCTTCTCTATCTGCCCCAGGCCTCGGCTGCTTCCCCACCCCTACACTGGACCCTAAGGCCTTCTCTATCTGCCCCAGGCCAGAGGCCTAAGTAGCGAATGTGGGTAAGGAGCCAGTGACAACTATTTGGGTTTTCTACCAGGAGCTCTCTCTGCTGCCTCAGTTTCTCTACCTGCAGCAGTCATTGGGTATGTACCCAGGTGCCAGAGAGTGGGGTGCTGGGGGGGGTTCTGGATGGGTTTGCCACTGGGAAAACTGCAGGGAGGGAGAACAGGGCATGACCACTGAAGGACTGGGCACCTGGGTCCAGCTCCTGCCTCTCTGACTTCCTGCCCCAAAGTCTTCCCAGTCCTGGAGGCCGGCATGCCTGGCTCAGGACTCCACCTCTAGGCCCCAGAGCCAAGGACGAAATGCTCTGAGATTCTGGGAGAACTTTCACTGACACTGTCTCTTCCCCAAGCCTTGCCTCCACAAAGCAAAGCAGGTTCTTCCAAGAACAACTCAGCTCCAGGCTCCTGTACTTTTTACCTTTTTTTTTTTTTAAGATTTAATTTATTCATGCATATAGAACTGGGGTACAGGCCAGAGGTGTGGGGGGTGAGAGGATTCACCAGGGACAGAGTGGGGCACAGAACAGGCAGATGGACTGAAACACACTGCTGAGGGAGCAGCAGGCGAGACAGGAGGGGTCTGCTGTGCCATGTGGGTCAGCTCCCTGGTTGGAGATCGAACTCGTGTTGCAGCGGCTACGATGGCTTCATAGTGCTGAGCTTTAACTGATTGCACCACCAGGGAGGGCCTGACTTTTTTATTTTTTGAGCAATATGTCATCAGAACACAAACTGATCAGTCACCTGTTCTGCCCCTATGAACAGCAATGGGGATAAGGTGGGCCAGAGTGCTGTGAGCTCACTTCAGGAGACCTGGATTAATTTCTCTGCCACATTCTCTCTGCCTGCCCTGGAAGAGAAAGCCTGGCCATCCAATCTGGTATCTGCCCATCTGTCTGTCTGTCTGTCTGTCTGTCTGAGGGATCAACAGCCTCCAGCCAGCTCAGCCCCTAGCAGCCCCAGCCCCAGCCAGCTGTAATTCCTGCCTGTTACAAGTGTTAACACCTGGCCTGGGGCCGTCCTCCCCCGCAGTCTCCGGGTGCCTCCCTGGGCCCAGCCCACTGACCCCTGCGGGGTTTGACTGAACATGTTCACAAGCTTCTCAAAGGCGGTGCAGGTGGGAGTGGGTGGGGGAGGCAGCAGGACACCTGACAGATGGGGAAACTGAGGCAGGCTCAAGACAGGCCCTTGAGCTGAGGACTGAGTCCCAGGACGGTAGAAAGAGAACTCAGGTGTCTCATTTCCCAGCTCACTGCCCTTGACTTCCGGGGAGCACTTTCACCAAGCTGGGAGGCAGGGCAGGCTGGTGACCTGTGAGTGAAGGTGAGGAAACAGCCTGGGGCTGGTCACACAGAGGCGGGGTGCCCCCCACAGGCCCCTTCCAGCAGGGCCTGGCCCTGGAATGCAGCAGGCACCGGGCAGAGCCCTAATAAGATAGGTTCGTTTTTTCCCCAAGAAGGAGAAGAAAGACAAGTTCCTCCACCAGGCACTAACTAGGACTGACAAGAAAAATTATAGAAATCAGGGTTGCTGTCCCGGCTTCCTGTCCCAGGTCTGCACGACCTGGCTGGGAGGCCCTGGAGCACATGTCCCCTTCCTGAGGCTTCTTCCGTGAGCCTTGTCGTGGCTGAGGCCCTGACCCAGACCTTCTGGTCTACCTTCTCTCAGAAAAGGGAGGGGGGAGACCTCAGTAGGAGCAGGCTGTGGGTGGGGGAGTGTCTTCCTTGAGAAATCCCAGCTAGCTGATTTCCCTGTAAACCCCTCCTGGGGAATATGTGAGCTGGGTGGGCCCAAGAGGGCAAGCCTGGAGGGGCTCAGACACGGAAAGGACTGGAATCTGACTGCCCCGGTGGGGGGAGGAGGCAGAGGCAGAACAGGAAGCTGAGGCCCATTCACTTGCGTCCCTGTCCCAGCCCCAGCAGGCCCCAGCCCAGGGAAGGTGACTCACCCTCCACCCCAGTTCTACGACCAAGACAAACCAAACGGCCAAAGGGGGAGGGCCACTGACCACAGTCCGGGCAGTCAGGATGAGCTTGTGCCCAGACAGGCTCTACACCCGGCCCCATGCCGCCAGGCCCAGGACCCCAGGTCAAATGAGACCCTGGCAGCTTCCTCTGCAGACCTTTGTCTCTGGCTGTACTGTCCCTCCTGGACCCTGGATGCCCATCGAGCACTCAAGCTCAGGATGCCACTCACACCCACATTTCTGATGTCTCAAAAATTCCCATAGCCAGAGGCCCAGCTGCAGTCGCCGGTCCTGGAGGACAGTCCCAAACCAGCCCTGACACTCACACTCAGGCTCACAAGCACAATCGGGTCACGGCCAGGCACAAAGACATCTGTGGGGCTTCCCCCTCACGCCGTCACGAAGGCATGAACACACACACTTGCACGGAGCATTGTCAGGCAGTGAGTGGCACAGCAGACACAGTCGTGACCTTTCCGTGGGCAGAGATGCTTCTAGACTTTCGATCTTTCACACGCAGAGACACACATCCTAGGATCAGTGACTTCCTGGCACTTGTATGCAGACTCAGCCCCGTTAGCAGCTGTGGGTCCCCTGGACAGCTTCTGCACAAGTTCGCATCCAGTCAGCCCAGTCACACACTAGGCAGGGGTGACACCCTGAGGGTCACAGAAATAAAACACACACACACACACACACATCTCTCAGACAAAGCAGCAACTCTGTCCCCGCCAGTCCCCAAACACACCATGTTTGGGCCAATGTCCTGCTTTTCAGGGTTTTCCAATGTCTTCTCCCATTGGGTGGTCCCTAGCTAGACGCTTTCAACGCCCCACTACCTATCAGATGCCCCCATGGCCTCAGAAAGCACCCTTCCCCAGGTCACAGGGTAGGGGAGCCCCAGCAGTCTTCCTTGCTCCCTAAAGTCTGTGGGGCTCCAAGTCATTTTCTCCCCTCCCCCTACAAGTATCCCCATTAAGGCAAAGCACAACTCCACCTTGGCGCAGGAATGGGGAGAGGGTCGGGAGAGGCCAGTGAGATACGACTAGTTTCCACAGCCTTCCCCCACCACATACACAGCAGAGCCCCCAGCTGGGCACCCCGCTACCCCAATTCACCCCATGGGCTTCTTTATGCCCATGGTCAGCCCACTGCCCCGGGAAGGATGCGCTGGGCAGAAGAAAGCCTTCACCATGGGTGTCAGTCCCGGAGCGATGCTGGGAGCCCTGAAAACAGAGCCCCTTGGCCGGGTCCCCCTTCTTGCCCCCCAGCCTAGCCCCCAAGCCCCCAGAGGCAAATGCTGCCAGGAGGCAGACTCCGGGTGTGGCCCCTGCATCTCGCTGGCTCTGCTCCCCTCCCCCAGACCGGGAAGGGGAGCCAAGGCAGGGACGGGAACAGGCAGGTGGCAGGGCACCCTGGTGCACTCCCCTTCTCTGCAGGGGCCACAGCCCCTTTTCCCACTCAAGGTCCCAAATTCTTCCTCCTCACCTCCCACCCCCGAGGTCGAGCTCTCCTCCGTCCAGGAGGGGAAGATTCTTTAATTAAAGTTTTCCGGAATGCAGGGGTTGGAGCCTGAGGAGAGGCGGGGTGTAATTGAGAGAACTGGTTTCAGTGTGTCTTCCCCTCTGGCCTCTGGGACCTGCCAGGGGGTGATGGGGCCGCTTGAAAAACAAGGGGACTCCCTGGAACCAGGGCTTCCAAAGGCCTGTTTGCCGCTCAGTCAGCCCCCCACGACACGCACACACCCCCCCAAACGTCGAGCCTGCCTTCCTAGTCTTATTTACTAAAAATGTCTTTTGTATCCGCATTTCTCGTGGCTGGAATTCTCCTTTCCTCTCTCCCTTTTTCCTCGGTCCTTGGTTTTCCAAAAGGAACGAATTTGACATGGAGAATTGGATTTTTGGTCAAAGAACAAACCCACCCCCTCCCAAACAACTACATTTTCAAGGACTCCCCCCTTCTGCCAGGATGGACAAGCACGAAATGAATAAAATCCGAATTCAATGGCATCTCGGATCAGCAAATACCATATTCACTTCTGTGGCTCAAGATTAATCTAGAGCAGAGTGGGGAGAATCGGATCCCCCCCCAACGCACACTCCCCTGCCCTGGGGAGCCCTGAAGCCTCTGGGGTCTGATATACGAAGGCAAAGGGGGCTATTGTGGGGAGAGCTGATGGAGACAGCGGCGGAGGTGGGGGCGGCAATGAAGAAACAGGACGATTTTGCCCATGAAGACCCCGAAATGGAGAACAGGAGTGGCTGGGCCCCGGGGACAGCGCCGGGTTTCCAGAAACACAACTGCAAGCAAATGGAGGCCCTTGGAGGGGGGCCCAAATCGGGACGGGTGGGGGAAGGATCTCAGAATAAGAGACCGTGGAGACGGGAAAGTGCTCCAGCCTCTACAGCGAGTAGCAGGGAAAATGGTGATTATCAGAGAAGCCAGGAGTTGGATTCGGAAGGCGACACCAGCAGAAAACCCGGGTCGGGGGTGGAGGGTGGACTGGGGGG